AAACTTTTCTAAGATCTTCCCCAGGACAGAAGTCAGGCTGAAATAAACGAGTATGAATTCAACGAGCCATAAAAACTATGAAGGGGCTTTGACAATTGGCTCACATGGAAAGATTAAGAACACAAACTATGCATAACTTGGCTGAACACCACCATGAAGAGCAAGAGGACATGGTACTAGATTACTGTACGAAGAGTATAAAATGTCAAAGAACAGAAATCACTGGGGGGAAAGGGGGTGTAGAAAGAGCATAATTATGGGACCGCAGAACAGAGCAGAGGAAGGGAGAGCGTAGGCTGCATGTCAGGGAAATTTTCCAAATAAACTGTATTAAGCCACAGAGGAGTCATGCTGGGGAAGCAATGGGACCCAGTCGCTTAAGCTTTCATGAGCAAAGCTCACTTCATCAGATGCATCTGATGAGCTCTTACAAAAGGTTACGCATCTCTGATTCAGTTAGTTTACAAGATGCATCTCTACCACACCTTCTCCCTGACTTCAGGCTAACGCAGCTAACTACCTCTTTCCCAAATCACTTGTTTCTTTTACAGCTAAGCTGGATGCAGCGCTGGAGAAAAAAAATCCTATATTTGCACGAGCAAAATGTGAACCGAGTGCCTAAAAATGTGTGTGTCACCTCTAACTTTTATGAATCTATAAAATTGGGTCACGCAGCAATTCTAACATCTCCAGGAAGGAGACAAGCATATCCTAAACTTTCTAACTGCAGAAAGACAATGTCCCAGCTGCTGTTTGTAGAAAAAAGGATGCAGGCAGGAATCTATACTACAGTGGCTCATCGCTACCAGCACAAGAGAGAGACAGGATTATTTTTAGTCTTGCTTCCCACAAATATACACCGTTTAAAAGTCTGATATTTGTACATACCTTCAGAAGTATTGTTCAGTTAACTGAAATATGCAACTGGGTCAACCTACCTGGTACAAGCAGGCTGCTGTTCCAAGGAAAAATGCAATGACATAACTGACATCTTCCCCCTCGTTCTGGAAGAAAAACAATCCAGTGTCTTAGCAACTGCATAGTTCACACACAAAAAAATTAAACATAATCCAATATGCAAATTTAAAGTGACCTCCTGTATTAGAAGCAAACTGAAGAAATTAGAAGGCATTGCTTATTTATTTCTCAAGTTAAATAAGATCCACAAAATGAAACCTACAAGGTCCAGAACATTCTAATGTTATTTTTCTTGCTAACCTTTCTATTTAGCACAGCAGACAACTAAATCGCCAGTATTTTTGATGTGCCAAACAGAGACTCTTCTGTAGCTCTGGCCATCTTTATCTCCTTTGAAAATCCCAGCTTTTATACTAGGAACTATAACCAATATCAACTTTGTAGAACTGCATCTTCAAACTTCTCAAAAGGTAATGGAAAATACAAAGTGTCCACTAGAGTGTGCCAAAATCATACCTAGAAAACAATATAGTCAAGCTTGTATTTGTGGAAGATAAAACAAAGCAAGAGTAGAAAAAGATTATGTGTAAACAGCAATATTAGGAGAAGGTTGAGGTCTCGAAGTGGAAGATACATTTAAAATGACAGATCTTCCCACTTTGAGGGTTTCTTCCCCAAACGCTCATCTCTCTCAATTATTCAAACATGTTTTAATAGTTTCTAGAAAGCTGAGCAAAATAAATGTCAGCCAGAATATTGCAGACTGCATTTTTCAGGTTTTTCAAACAAGCATCTGTCATAAATCAGAAACACTCCCAGACAAATGAGGCAGTCAGCAAACAACTTTTTCTGGAAGGAGAAGCCTATTTCCAAAAGGAGCTGGTCCACTCGGAACTACAGCTCCTCTGCTGACAACGTATTCTGTCTGCAGTTCTTGCATCTGTAGCCTTGGCTAAGAAAAAGTCTATAGTTCAACATACAAAACCTATCTACAAGGACAAAACACTTCAACAAAATATAAAAACCCTCAGCTAGCATTCAGTGAAGTGGACCTATAGTTTACCATATAGTTTTGCCAACTCCAAAATGAATCACTTATTTTTAATGTGTTTTAAATTCAGAAGGAAGCTTTTGCATTAAAGTTTCTTTTTTTCAGAAGTTAAACTTCCACATAACACATTAATGACTCTTGCCTCATCTTTCAGGGATTTATTCCATGTTAAAGTACTCTTCATTTCTTATATTGAGGATTTACCCAAAATAAAGCATGGTCACTACATTTCACCATGAATTGCCATCTGCCCCTCCAACACTGGCACATGCTTCCACATCTCTGATCTTTTGCAAACAAAGATAAGAACTAAAAATATTATTATACAAGTGGTGAAATTTTCTATTTAACATTACTCGCCTAATGCTATATATTTTACATTCATATTTATATACCCAGTGAATTCAGGAGATTGCTTACATGCATGTGAAATACAATTCGTGAATCAACAGGCATTAATTCTCTAGAAATGCCATGTTAAATTTCATACATCTTTCTTTCTTTTTCTTTGCATTTTTTCATTTTAATTTCTTATAACAACAATGACCTTTTCACATGGTATTTTCATTACCTCCCCCAATGCATTCATTAGTCTTCAGGAAATGCCCTAGGTCTTAATTGTCAGTGTTTAAACTAATATGCAAATGAGCATACAAAATATAACTAGGATGTATATAGTACATTAAAAGAGGTAAGGCAACTTGGTGCATTAAACTGTATTAAAGTGCATTAAATACTGATAACGCTGCAATTTTGAAGAAACTCTCATCAAAATTTTAGATGCCAGAACTTATTATACTGAGTAGATCGATGCAGGGCAAAACTCTAGGATCCCCCTCTAACTCCTTTGGCAAACCACCGCCGGATCATCCTTTTCCACCTGGACAATCACCATTGCGGACCCTCGGTATAACATTAACCGGGGCAAACCTTCGGCTAGGATATGCTGCCAGGGCACCATAACCGTTGAACAAACTGTAACAATCCACTCCAAAGGAAGACCTATCATTTTCATGACAAAATCCTCCATTTAGTAACTACTATCAGTGGGAACAAAGCTTAAGGGAGAAAGAGAAAAACCATCTTATTCACTGTAAGATCATGGATTGCAAGATCAAACAAAAGCATCTTTTATGGGGAAACCCACTGAGGGACAACACTGTTAATAAACAAATGTTAGGTACATTACTTCTCTCTTTATTCTGGAGGGAACGAACATTCTGGTTATAAAAATCCTTCAAAACATCCCTCCTCTATGGACCCCTGCAGACAACGAGCTAGATTTTCAAAACTTTGCTGCTCAAGCGTTATGCATAGTTCCATGAAACTGTGTTTTTTTTCTTAAAGTGCAAAGTCATGGCAGGAATTTAGAGAACAGCACTCCATCACCGCATATTCACTACTGCAGGCCTACCTAAGGAAGTCTGCCACTCATATTCAAATTCCCTTAGGCGCCTTTGAAAAATCTCACTCAATAATGGCTATAAAAACATGCCGACTGGGTCTGAAATTAATAGGAATATTCATATGAATAAGGTGAAACAGAATTTGGCTCATAAACAATTTATATGGTGTTATTTTGATTGACATTTTTGTATAAACTTGACAGGTTTGATATTTCAAATTACTTTTCGTTGGAGTTATAAATGTTGTACAGTACCTGCAGAAGGCTTTCTATGGCATGAAAGCCTCGAATTAAATTCAAAGCCCCGCATAACAGGCTAAGTATAAATGAGACAATCCCTGGCAAAGTCAAGGGTTCCAGTCGCTGATGAGGAGCTTCAAGGCACATGTAAAAAAACAACCCAAAAATACAATAGTAAGCATTTTGAAATTGGTAAAAGCATTTCCCTCAAAATTTTAGAAAAGTATTAATCCAGTGTTTCAATATCTTCTTCCTGCTCAAAACACATGCAATTGAATTTTGCAAGCGAAAAACATGTACATTTTAAATTCTAAAAAGAACACCGCACAAAGCATTTTTTAAGACATCAATGCAAGGTTTTGACAAAATGTACTCTGCTTCAATTAAATGCAAAACTAATGTTCTTCTCTGTCATTTTTAAAAGAAATTTAACTTGATACATCCTGTTTATTCAGCATACTACTGAAGGCTGCTCAAACATGCCAGTAAATCAATAGCAAATAATGCACTTGCTGGTAAAATTCGTCCACAATTAGCAACCATCTAATAAGTCACGTACTTAAGAGCTCCTCTCACAACCTCCACTTTTCTTTAACACTAATGCATTAGTTAAAGCTATCAGAACTGATTTAGTTTGTTTGCTGAACAGAAGGCTGCAAAGCAAAGCCATTACTTGCCCCTACAACAAAGCACACAGGCCTGTAAATGTTACCACCGATAGAAATAAATACATTCTGGAACCATGCAAGCAGTATGCATATTGCAGCTCAATATGAAATTTGGAAGTGTCCCCTGGCACAAGTTAAACCTGAAAACACATTACTTTCCACATGTACACTCATTTGTGCTCATCAGGGGCCACAGTTACACGAATGATTGTAACACATAGTAGATGTGTGCTTCAGTCATCACTATGCTCTTCCACAATTAAGAATGGAAGCCAAATATGAAAAACCCAAGACAAAATTCATAATGGTCTAGGCAACACTGGGTGACAACAGGATTACTGAACCGTATTTAAATCATTCTGTCTAAATCAGTGAAGTGTAAAGGTGAAAACAATGAAGTTAATGAACTGTAACATTAATATAGAGGGGGTGTCAATCTTGATTGTTTGCACTGAACAGATGCAGCAGAAAGACTCTCTAAACAGTTCATAAAGTTAAAGAAACCACAAAGAACCTACAAAAACTACTTTTCCTTGTTAAATATATAACACTGTTTGTATGCTTCTGTGGTCTAATTTTAGTATGCTCAAGTTTTATGTTTTAGTGTAACTAATTTGTAAAGGAGTCAGGGCTTAATTGAATCAGGTAGAAGCTACTTGAAACAAAAACTACATCCTGAAGCTTAACTTTCATAACTTACTCCTACTCTAACCACAAGATATATTATGGACAGTACTGACAACAAACATTTAAGGTTGGGTGCCAATTTCTATTCAAACTTCTCTTCCTTCAGTTACTCAGTTTTTAAACCAGTTCTTTTTTATGGGGACCAGAAATTTTATATGCTACATATAAATCAAGTCACACAATTGGGTTAAATGTATGCATTACTAATGACTTTTGAGAGTAAAAAGGGAAGGGATGTGAAAAATTCTCAAATATTCCAATGAGGGACTCTGCATTGGAAGAGCACAAAAATGGGGGTAAACAATAAACAGATGGTCAGACCTGATGATCCGTTTGGGTCCCTTCTGACCCAAAGCACTATGAAACTATGAAGTCAGTACAAACTACCTAGTCTGTGCTTAAGCATCAGACCTTTTTTAACCTCTCTCTCTCTCTTACGTAAAAGGACTAGTTTGTCTAGCTAACAACCAACCCAAATCTAGTTATGGAGACCCAACACCATTATTAGTCACTAAGGTCTGGAAGGCTCAAACAGTTGCATATTCTATCACCAAAGCAGCTAAGTGCCAAACAGCAAATACATGAATTAAAAAAAAAATCTGGAAGGGCAGTTACAGGTGGCAGGACAGCTTTACCATAGCTGCAAGATTAAGCTTCCTATGGAAATTATTAACTCCCCAAATCTAATTAGAGATGATTGTCCTGGACCAATGCCAAAGGGTAAAGAACATACAAGTTTAGATATCAAACATTTTTAAGTTTCCTATAAGGAACTATTTCACATTTTTAAAATATTTTCCTGCCCTGCTACATTATGGCCATTCTCATTTTTCAAACGCTTTTCTAACTTGTATATTGATGCTGTATTAGAGCTGAAGTATACAGCAGTTAACTTAATTGGGGGCTTGAAGTGGCTCCCAGAAAGTTATCTTGGCTATGTACTACTTATGAGGCATTTTTATTAATTTTTTTTTACAAGGGTAGGTCTAAGCTGTTGTGACAGATGTGACTGCAGCTCAGGTGGAAATAATAGGGCTAGCCTTCAATTAGCTAACAAAGGCACAGCTGTGGCAGTGCAGGATTCTGCATAGCTAGCTATACAACTACTGACCTGGGTTCCCAGGCAAGTTCTCATCTTGTGCTGCAGCTACACAGTTAGCAATACTGAGCAAACTGGTTTAAAGCAAGAAAACCAAAAGTACAGCTCCAACTAGAGTGCAGACATGTCTTTTTACATAAGCTATTTTTATTAACTTATACAGTGAATATCTCCCTAAATACCAGAGATCTGAGAGACTGCATTGCTTCCCAGGGCATTCATTTTAAAATTAGGCAAAGAAAAACTGTACTCCCTAAAGTAATTTAAGACCTATAATTTACCCACAGCAAGCCCTATGGTTGAAAGGGAGAGCAGAAGCAGGGAAAGACACTGGGCAAGGACAGTTGTATCCTAAGAAGTGATATTTCAGGACTGAGAAAAATCTAGGAAGTCTCTGAAAACTGAGCAGTATCAACCAGGTAGTGAAGACTTCTTCAGCTCTTCAACTCACTTCAGGCTTGCACTGGAGGAAGTGGCTGGTTTGGGAGACTCTAAAACAATGGGCAGCTATGCACATGCCCAATGCCTGCTCCAACATGTGCTAATTAGCACGCAAAGCAAACTCAATTAAATGAGTCTGCTGAAACATACTCATTAGCAAGCTCCAGCAGCCTCAACATCTTGTGTATTCAGCATCCCCACACTTCAAAATGGCAGTGGGGACACTTGAACTAAAAAACTCTTTGCACGAGCTTTAGTTAAAGCACCCCCTCCGTGAATACATAAGATGCTGCAGGCGCTTTAATTAGAGCACCTCCTAAGAGCCGCTCTAATTAAAAGCACCCGCACCCCAGAGCAGGTGTAAAGATGCCCAATAGTTCCAATAATAAGGAAAAACAAAACAAAAATATTCCTTAAAATTTAAAATAATATCATCACTGAGCATCTCCTATTGTAATATAATGAGTGAACACCTTGCGCTATCTAAAATCTTTTGATGGATGATTGATTTATAATAATTCTGCCTACCTACATCACAAAGATTTGGTATTTTTGTAACCACAGATTGTTCCCATCTCTAGCTTCCACTTGTGACACTACCACCTCTTCCAGAGACGGGATTACAGCAGGCTGTTGAGTAAATCACAAAGGATTAACTTGTAAGAAACAAAAGGTAGAAGTGTCAAAAGTGATAAAAGAATGACACCGGAGAATTATTAAAAAAAGAATAGAACATGTCAACAAGTACTGGTTCTCAGTACAATGTTTTCCACATTTCTCCATTAGTCAACAATAATATTAAGAATACGCTCTGGATGAGTTAGCAAAGGTACGTGGCATTTCTTAAAAGGTTTCATGCACTTAAATTATTTAAACATTATTATATATTCCCCTTTTGGCTCTTGCAGAACTTAGTTCTTTTTTCTTTGCCAGCACCAACATGTTGTAATCATTATTATTATAAATGATTTGTATTATGATAGCATACAGAGCCATCAGAATCCAAGCTCCATTAAGGCACATGCTGTACAAAGACTTAGCAATCTCCTCTTTTTAAATAAAAAGCATTTTTTTTTATATCTGTAGAGAGAAAATTCTTAGTAAACAGAGGCCAAAGTGTTTTTGCTAATCATTAAAAATGAATATCTAGCACAAGAAGGAATTAAAGGGTCCCTATTAAAAAGGTACACAATTTACCTTACCCATTAAACTTTACAATATTTTAATGAAAGCTTGCATGTGTGTCAGTTTTCCACTCTAATCCTGTAAAGTGACCCACGTGGGTACCAAAATCTACCTGGACAGACCAGCATAAGAGACAGACGCATTTAAAAAGAGGAACATTTAGTATTTAAATGCTCATCATTTATTCTATTTATTTTTTGCTTCATTGAACTTGAAGATTGAAACTAGACTGGTCTATTTCACTTCCTCTAGACAAATTTCATTTGTACAATCCATGCATTAGCACCAGGCTGTTGTGTTTTTCTTTTCAATTCTTCTGTTCTAATAGGAAATAGCTGAATTGCTTCAGAGAGCTCTTTTCATATCACAAGTCAAGAATCATATGCCCATCCCCAGTAAGTCATTATCCAGCTCTATGTAATTTATTCCTTGTGCGAAATTAACAAGTTGAAAAGTAAAAAAAACCCCACATGTGCTAATATATTATTACTGATGTGATGTACATAGCAAACACTGTGTCAAGTGTATGTAATAGTAAGGTAATTACACTGAATTTGAATGTGAAGGACCTCTAAGTAATGCTCCTCCCACTGATTCCAGTAGTCATCATGACATTACACCCATAATGATACAATACGTTAATGATGTCCTCAGCTCCCATTATAAAAGAAATCATTAGCTGATCTTATAAGTCTTTAAAAATAGGAAAAAGAAAAAGAAAAGAAGATCTATTTAAATGTTTATCTGTGTATTTTCATTAAGAAACCGGTGTCTATTGATAACTGCCCTTGATTAACAAAAAACACATTCCTCTCTGCAAGCTGCAGGGGAAGAATGAATAGTTATAACAGAAGTCACAGCTTCTAGAGAAAGAGGCAGGTTCCTATGACACGGCAGTCCTTTATACAAACCCAGCAGCTAAGAAAGTATGAGGTTTGGCATAATTTCCTATATCATTTCACTTGGAAAAAAGAAAAGTAAGTGCATTGCCATACTCTAGGTTCATTCAAGGATAGTTGTAATTAAGCTATGAAACTCACCAGCAGGTATCTTACCGGTACCCTTAAATTCTACAGCAGATAAATGCACAAATCCATTAGCTGAACCTAATTCAGACAGAGAAATTTGACAAGGTGGTCTCAGCTTGATTTCCATCTGCATGTCAGCAAGATTTATCTTTGTTGATAGAGACCGCGTGTTGTTATATCTCTGCTTGGTCCTTTGGATAACATTATCTGTGTAAAATTAAAAGAATACATCTCTATAGACATTTTTAATTAAATAAATTCAAGACCATGCAGCTTTATGGGCAATAGATTTCTTATGCACCTATTTAAATTCATTATTTGAAATTCTTACATTTATCTTGGAACATTCTAATACTATTTCTATTTTATGACTAATATATCACAGGCTAATTAATTCTGCCACACAAAAAATTACACTCTAGAAGTCTAATTACTTAACAACTGTGAATAAACTAATGGCTTTTCACTGTGTGAAACTGAACGCAGTCCTTATACAATGGATTTATTGCACTTGTTTTAGCTTTCCTTTCAACTTGGAAAACATTCTTACAAAAGCAGAGGAGTTCACACTTTGTCACGGATGAACTTGCTTAATTCTAAAAAGTGCCCTAAATTGCAAATTCTTATCTTCTGACCTCACAACAAATGTGTCAATGCAATAAAAGTACCCCCAAACTTCCTGGAAAACACGGAGAGGGATAGGGAAAATACAGGTTCAAGAGCTTCTGCATAAGAAAGATAGTAACAGTTATAACACAGGGCAAGTTTTAAAACAACTGATCAAGCACTGGAAAAGTTAAAGAAATGTAATATATACCATTTTTCTTCTAAAACAACTATAACTTTCAAGATCTAAAAGTATTTTATTAGACTACACGAAACAGGTTTCCTTTGTCTCTAAAAGACGGCAGGATTTTTAAAAACCACTGCAGAGGCTAACCAATTCTACAAGGGGTATTGGTATTCTCAATTGAATGTGGCATTATTTGTACTTGAAGCTTGAATTAGAGAAGATGCGATGCATAGCTGCATTATAGAAGTCTCTTTTCCCCACACTGGATAAACAACTATAACAGTGAAAGATTGCAGTCTTTTACTTTGTAAACTTATGAAGACCAATATCTTGGTAAGATAAATATTTTGATAAGGGTATAAAGTAAAACATGTCATAATATATTACCAACTAGCAGGATAAGCTCCTCTGGATTCATTCACAGAAAACCTATCAAACGTAATAGAAAGACTCTCAATGAACTTTACATAAGGCTCTAAATGCCTCATTCAACTCCCACTGAAGTCAAATTTTTCAACTGTATTCAATGTATGTTTCCAGGCCCTGATATCACATTCAAATATAACAATCTCAGCTGAATGGTCTTTGTCCAAGTTGTACATTCCTGAATATAGTCAGTAAACTTTGATCATGATGGGAAGAGTTACTGTAAAACAGAAGTCTTATCCTTACCAAACTCTATGAAACAGTATGGTCGGATGGCAGTATTTGTCCTCAGCATATCGTAGGTGGTGATGAACTCCTTCTGAAGCTCATCCAGGAAGCAGAAAGCCAGGACACTGGGGTAATTTTCAGTGCACAACATCATGTAGCTCACTTCTAGAGAGCTAATAAAACTAAAAAAGTTTAAAAGAGTAGTTTTAGCATTTCAAAATTAAATCCAGGTAACGCTCAGTTTCACCAGACTGGTTCCATATGCCATAACAGAGCAGTAAAAAAAAAACTGCCACGGGGTAATGAAAACATTAATATTTATTGACAAAGTCAAAGATTGTTTTATGGAAGAAAACAATTTACTTTTGGGTAATGTCGGTCTTTTAAACAGTATTGCACCAGCAAACAAGAAACAAGGCTAAACATACATAAGCGCACCAAGCGTGGCAACTGAACAACGTGCACAAGAATGGGGAAATGAAATAAAGCCCTTAGGGAGGGCAAAACACATGGTTATCCCCTGGGAAAGTTTCATTTATTCTGAAGGCAAAACGTGCCATCTGGTACATTCTACAGGCTCAAGAAACTGCTGTAAAAAAATTCCTTTATAATAAGCAAGGGAACAAAACTCCTCCCTAGCAAGGATGATTTATCAGTGCCCATGAATAGGAATAAAGATGACCAGAAACTAGAAAATCCCCACTCCTTCCAAAGTGGAATCTGAAATATTTCTATACCAGTGGTTCTCAACCAGGGTGCTGTGAAACCTCTCAGGAGTACTGAGCTGCTGCCACAGCCATGTGATAGTGCTCCACATGCCTCGTGCACGGACAAACCCAGAAGGGCTGCAGCATGCACCTATTCTCCTGACCCTTAAGGTTTTCTGATAAGCCTGAAGCAGGCAGGAGAGCCAGCTTGTGCTGCAGGTTTTCCCAGTCCAGTCCCCATCCCCCTGCCATACTCTTCCAGGAAAAAGAGGTGCACAGGAGGTTCCACCCACCCAATGCCGATTTTGGGGAGATGCCATGCTGGATTGGATCGGGGGACAGGATTCAGGTTGTTTCACTCTCCCACACCACCATACCGCCTCAACTGCCTCCCCCACTGCCACCCTACACCCCCTGTACTGCTTTTCCTGCTGCAGTGTGTGTGGGTGTGTTGAATTTAAGACAGCCCTTCAAGAAATATAGAATCTATACATAGAAACTTATAATACATTTATAAATTTTCCTTGCATCAAATCCAAGTATTGGGGATCATCTTAAAATTTGAGTTATCTTCAATTTGGGTAAATATGGTATTTAAAAAAAAAGTAGTAAGCTAATACAGATCTAAATGTCAAAGAAGTCTTACTTATAAGCAGGGATCCTGGTTTCCTCTGACAAAAAAAAAATCCCAAATTTTCAAATGTAAAAAAATAACCCCAAATCCACATTTCTGCATGATTAAAATGAAACTGTTCATATATAGATATCTTTATATCTATATATAGTGGTGTTTAATATTAATCATAGAAATATGTTGATTTGGGGTAACTTATTTTAATCCAAAAGTAGGGGATTTTTTTTTTTTTTTAAATCAGAGAAAACCAGGATCCCTGCTTAAAAGTAATATACACAGCACCCCTTTGATTATGTTGCATGCAGTTTTTGCAAATGTCTTGTAAACTTACCAGCTGCCAAAGAAACTTCAGACTCAGTTTCAGTATTAATAGGGCAAGGACAAACATACACTTGGAGCGATTTCAAAATAGAAAGAAGAGGGAGCTGCTACTTTAGACCATCTAGCAGCTGTTACCATTCGCATTTTAACTCTTGTTTTATCCGGGGTTAAAGTTGGGGTGATTCAGGCATGCAAAACAGAGTAACAGCTGGTAGGCACTCCTGAGTAGCAGCTTCCTTTCCCCTTAAGCTTGTCCAAGTATGTTTGTCCATGCCAAGAGTTGTAACAACATTGAAGCCACAGTACTATATTTTCTGGATAATTAGTTAAAGCAACAATCTACCCATTAGCATCTTAGAGGAAATACTGACTTTACATTCACATTTACACACACAGAATCTACATTTGGTCTGCCTTCACAAGAAAGATTTGGGTTTCACTGTGTTCATTTTTCTTACAAAATTAAAAATATTACCAACTGCTAGGTGTGCACTGATAGAGACTTTTTGGGCCAATGGCCAACTTTTAATAGCCAATATGCAGCACTGCAGAGTGGAGAGTGGCAACCAGCTGGTAAGTCTGTTGTGGGGGAAAAGGGGGAAGGAAGGTGGCAGATCAAGGCCCCTGTGGTGAGGGTGGGAGTGGGGCTGGGGCAGGCACTGCCCAGCCAGGGAGTCGGGGGGGGAAACTGGACAGAGCCGCAACCTGTTCGGGAGGTGCAGGGTGGGAGCCGGCTCCCACCGCTGTGCTTACCTTGGGAGGGCACAGTGCGGCGGGCATGTCCCTCCCAGATCCGGGCACGGGGCAATGCCTAGCTCTTCCCAGCCACAATCAGCCAGAAGCTGGCTGCTGATGCTTTAAATTTTCCTCATATCAGTTCTGATTCAATATGTATCAGTACACCTATACCAACTGCATGCATGAGTGTTTTGGGAGTAGTGTCCTCTGAAACTAGTGCTAAGCATCCTAAAAAAGTACTTCTAGAAATAAAAAGAAATAACTTGTCTTAAATATTTTTCCGGAATATTAAAACAAAAACAAAAAAAACATTTAAAAAAAAATTTACTGAAAAATGTTGCAGGGTGGGGCAGATGAGAGAAAGAGAGGGTTCACGTAATTTAATAATCCACCTGTTGCACTGGAAACCAACAGCACAGCAAAGAGTGATAAAAAACCCACAAGGAAAACTGGGATATAGGTTGTAGCTGTGTTGGTCTAAAACAGGGGTGGGCAATTATTTTGGGTGGAGGGCCACTTACTGAGTTTTGGCAAGCTGTCCAGGGCTGCATGGGTAGCCCCACCCCTTGACAGGTGCCCTGCCCCCTGGTCACCATCTTGGGACCAGAAGTCCTGCCCCCTAGTCCCCCAACCTTTGCCACCAGAAGTACTCTTTTCAGCAAGGGGGGAGGGGGGGGTGCCATCTTGGAACCAGAGAAATACCAAATTATATTCTTAAACACAGAACATCTACAACATTCATTAATTTGATTTCAAAAAATATTTTTGTTGTCCTGATTTACATGCGTTTGTGTAGCGTACATAGAAGTGATTATATAATAGTTAAAAATGAAGTCTACATTTGTATATTGTGGGGGGGTGTAGAAATGTAGAGTGTGGGTGGGTATAGGCTTTGTGGGGGGAAGGGGGCTGGAGAGGGTTGTGGCATGTGTGGAGGGGTAGGAAGAGTAGCTGAGGTGTGCGAGAGGGTGCGCATGTACGGCAGTGCAAAGGGGGTGTGGGTACATATGTATGGTGGGGTGCATGCGTGGGACTTGCGTACACTCTCCCTCACTGCCCAGAACCCCTGCCGGTGACAGAAACCACATGGGAAGAAGCACCACAGCAGATGGGAAAGTGGGGAAATGGTGGTGGCAGGCAGGAGTGAGCAGGCAGCAGACAGGCATGAGCTCAGCGACAGCTGGGTAGGAGTGCAAGGCCCACGCCAGTGCCCCGGGGCAAGGGCTGATTGGGGCCCAGAGCGGGGTGGTAGGAGTGTGGGATCCAGGCTGGCAGGGGCTCTATGGAGCCAGGCTGGCTTCCCCCTCTCCCTGCTGGCGCAGCCCAGCCTGGTTCCATAGAGCCCCTGCCAGCCCAGGCCCCATGCTCCTACAGGCTCGCTTTGGGCCCCTGCTGGCCCTGGCCCTGGGGCACCAGCACAGGCCCTGCACTCCCACTCAGCTATTGCTGTGCTCATGCCCACCCACTCATCTGCACATTGGGGTGTGCATTTTAAACAGGGAAGATGCTTCCTTCACTGGAAAAGCAGCAAGCCTGGAGCATGCCATGCAGCTGCCAAGATGGCAGAGTCCTTGTCAACTCTCCCAGAGCCACAGCCACTAGCTGAACACAGAACCCAGTGCCTGAAGCAGCAAGTGAGCTGGTGGCAGTATCTTGATGGGGGCTTGTAATGTGGAAACACTTTATTTTCAGGAACTTACATAAAGAACTACTTACTGTAAAGAACTAACAGTCTTGCTACTGCTCTTGCAAGGGTCTGGAGTCTAACCTTGTGTGACACTGAGCAAGTCCTCCTGGAAACACAGCATCTAGAAAGCCTGGCATCCCAGGAGAGTCTGGGTAAGGCAGCTGGCACCAAAAACTGCCTGGTGCCACATTTTCTGGATGCTGCATTCCCAAGACAGCTTACTTAATGTCACAGAATCAGCCACGAGTGTGTAAAAATCCTTTTTGTACGTTCTGCCTTTAATCAATTTAAGAATACTGTCTTATCTCGCATACACCTGCCCCTGAAAATAAGACTCATACCTTGTTTTTTTAATCACCACTATACTGTAACTCTTAACTTGCTACAACAAATACCCCTAGGAAGCACTGCAAGGATAATGAGAGAAAAACCTTACTTTATGTTATACTGCCCCGTTTTCAGCGTACATCTGTCGGGAAGCTGAGCAAGTTTCCTTGAGAGCGCTTTAAAATATTTCCTACACTCCTGCACACCTGTACTCTGTTCACAATCTGTAGAGGCAGAGAGTGGGAGTCCATCCCTCACACGGACCACGGAGGCAGATAAGATCATAGACATTGCCAGCTGATTTAATGGAAACCTAAGAACAAAAAAAAAAAAAAAAAAAAAAAAAAAAAAAAA